GGTGCCGCCCGACGGTGCCGCGCCCTACCGAGCAGCCTGGGCCAAGCGCCTGGCGCGGCGTCTGCGAGGTGAGAGTCTCTGCCCCCCCGCCCGCTTCTCTCCCCTCTGCCCTGGCCCCACCGCCGCAACGGACCGCCGGGTGTTTCTCGGCTTCTAAGACTCAGCCGGGTTTCCTGTAGACTGCCGCCGAGGAGTGTTTATGAGTTTCTCTGTAGTCTCTTTTGCCTTTTTTTTCCACCCGTCCCTTTGTTGCCTATCCTCTTTTTCCTCTGCCCGTGTTCTTTTCCCATCTCCTGTCTGTCCGTGCTTGCCTCTGTCCGTGTCCCCACCTCTTCATGCACATCCATATCTTGATCTCTGGTTATGCCTACCAGCACACACAAATGCGTGCACGCCTCTCTCTTTCCTCCGGAGCATAGAGGTCTCTGCCCCCCAGGTCTGAGTCCTGGCTACTTTCAGTGCAAGAGGCTCTCCTGAGTAGTTTTCAGAGATGTGTGGCTTTCCTGACTCAGCACCAGGTCTTTGGGAGAATTGGAGCAGAAAACTTGTCTTTCAGCATCCTCTGCTGTAGGAAAGTGGCAATTTGTGCTTAAAATGGGGTTGTTTGGAGGGTGTTTTATTAGTTTTGCTTTTTTTCAATATTGTGCTGTGCCTTGGAGTTGCCTTCCACTGTTCAGGTGCCTGTTAACGCACAGCTGGTGACCACGGACATAGTTTGACGCATAAACAGGAGCACATCAAACGAGTGTTTGGAGTGTCCTTCTGCACTTACTGCATTAGCTCTGCCAAGCTGGCCCTGTGCAGGGTTGGTTTGACACAGCAGAGAAAATGGTAGTTGAGGAGTTCTTTGTATTCAAGGCTATGGGACCACAAGTGAGAAACCCCACTTCTTTTTCAGAGAAGCTTCAACCGCTTAAAATTGTGAGAATTTTTAACATAGGTTTTTTTTAAGTTTCAGACAAAATCTTTATAAAGCTTATAAAGTAAACTATATTCAGAAAATAAGGTTGTTTCTTCTAAAAGATGAATTTTCTGAAATGATAGTACTGTGACAGCAGTGATGTCTAAACAAATGTGTTTTTAAGTAGGAACTTGTAAATTAGGCTATTGTATGTCCTGTATATCTTCACTTTTATTTTCATGTGCATTCAGAAATCATTTGCTGTGGTGGTTTCTCTGACTTCAGCTGTTTTGCACATAAATAAATCCCCATTGATCATTGCAATGTTTTACTTGGATGCCAAGTCCTGCAGAGATTATGGAAAAAAGCATGTTAATCTTTGCAGAAGGTTTTATGGGGAAGCTGTTCAGTGAAGTAAGTCACTTCATAACAAGAGGCCAGAATGGCCAGGGAAAAAAAATATCAGTTATGTGTTATGCAGGAACTGACACTGCTCTTTTTGGAGTCTTCAAAGGTGTATCCGTAGCTTGAACTTTTAATTTCTGTTTTCAGGCTAAAAGGTGAGGACCACCTTTGTCATAACATATTGCATCCTTTTGACTGCTGTGGTTCTCCGTACACTACTGAGTGTGAGCCTATTAATTGTGCACTGTTTGGAGAATGGTGTAAAGTTACATGTTCTTGCAGTGCAAGAAAACAAAAAGAAATATTTTCAGTAATAGCTGTGAATGAAGCTGCCTCTTGCTTTTTAAGATAGTCAGTGTGTGCTGGTAGTATTCTGTTTTTAGCTGTAAAGTGGAAAGACTTGGTTTCATATCCTTGGAATGTTTGAAGTGGATTTAGCCCTGTGGTTACTATCCACAGTTTCTGTTGATTTCTGACCTGTGTACGTTTTGTGTTCATAGGCAAGTGTAGCTAAAGTTACTGTAGTAGACAGATCCTTTTCTGGCTCTTTCATGAGAGTATTGTTGCCATTAATTCACAGGCACAGTAAATGGCACTTATGTGCTGTGGAGGTATTCTAGGGTACTATGCTTGCCTGCTGCAGAGGTAACTAACCTCTGGAGAGTGCAATCGCTGCAGGCTACATAGCGGAAGGGCTGATTTCAAGCCTGAAATTATTGTAGGGCACTTGAAGCATCACTGAGGTTTTAATACTGGAAAGAGCACTCAGTAGTTCTTTTGACATTTCATGGATAACCATGAGGATCTTTGAAGACTGGAAAATGGCAAACTCAGTTTCATTTCGAGATGGCTAAAGGAAAGTTAGCATAGGTTTATTTAATGAAATTCTGTTTCACTAAACAGAATTCAACACAAACGATTAATCCTTTTGATACCAAAAGCGATAGCGTTAACATGGTGTCACTTCCCGCTCTAAGAGGGAGACAAGTGATGCCAATCCACAAATACCCAGTGGGTCGAACAGTGGTGAGACAAGTCTCAGTGTTCCTGATCAAAGCGCTTATTGAACAGTTCCAATCACCAATACCATGCCTACCAGCTTTGCTCAACAACCAACAACAAATTAGTGACAGATCAAATGGCAGTAGCTTTTCCCACAATAATCTGCTTAATATCTGACAATGATAAGTGGTAGGATACAGTAGGGACAAACAACAGTAGTTTTTCTTAATAGCTGGCAACAAGCGACAGTGGGAGCCTTGCTTTACTTAAAGGGAAGGAGAGAAAGTAGAAAAGAGAGGAGGACAGAAAGATCACCAGTCCTGGTTCCAGCATTGGTCCTGCCAATGGGATGGACTGGCTGTCCAGCCTCTGGGGCCACCACCTATACAGTGATCTTTTCCATTTTTATAGACAGCTAGCCCTCTCCTCTTAGTCGAGTTTCTCGCTTCTCATGCAAATTAGTCCTTGCTTTCCATGTAAATTAGCACTCATGCTCTTTACAGGTGTGGAGGGGCAAGTCTTTTCTGTCTTGATTTAATTTCTTCTAGGTGCAGGATTCTTGACTTCTTGTGTAAAAAGGTAGTTGAGTACAGAGGGAACCAAATGTGGTCTGCTTATCTTGTCTACCAGAGTAGCATCGGGCTATGACGCCTCCTCACTCCAGGTGTCACACAGATGGTTCAGTGCCAGTCTGCCAGGTGACAAGATGATCAACTCTTGCCTTTCTTTAGGTGCTTATCTGCACAGGATCAGCGCAGTGCCCAGCCTCCATCCTTGCCATCCTGCATCCAACACCCACAAGCCTTACCCTTCACATTAGCACCTTAGGCGAATGTTTGAGATATCAGCATGTTTTCTGGACCCTTACACGTGGCTAAACAAGGTGCCACTCCTCAACTGAGTGACATTGAATGACCACTTACGCTTTTCTTGCTGTCAGTTGTGAAATAAAAACACTTGCGCAGAGGATTTCAGGTAATGGGATTTTGGTAATTACAACCATCAGGGAGAATAATAAGAGTTACAAAGTGGATAGAAACCAAACTGCTTCAGACTATCTGTATTTTAGGTTCTTCTCTTTGTGGATTCTTTTCAAATTCTAACATGAGTCTTTGTGAAATATCTTTAGTTCCTCTAGTTTTGCAGACCTTTTCAGCAAACATCCCAGTGCCTGTGGGGTAAGTAGAGGATGACTGTTCAACTCTGTTAAGGAGAAGGTCGTCAAATGTTTTGAGGGGTTAAGAGCAAGATCCATTTCCAGAGCCAGACTGGAAAGGTAATCTGAAAGCTGCACTTGGTCACCCCGTGCTACTGTGTCCTCTCATGCATCAATACTAAGGAGTGTATGTGGGGTGTTTCTTGAAAGGTTTTCTTGGTTATTGTTAAGTGGGAGCATCAGATGTCATTTCCAGTCACTCATTAATTGATACATTCACGAAGAATGTATCACGACGTTTTTATTGAGTTGAACTGGTGCAGGCTCTGATTCTACCTTATTAAGGAGTGTGAACTAAGTGTTGTGAGACTGCGTTTTGTTGTTGTGTTGAGACAAAGCATCTTTGCCTGGGATTCAGTTTCCTTCCCCAGAATCTGAATTTCTGTGTAAGCAGATTAGTTAGCGATGTGTATCTTGGCTTGAGTGCTTTCAGAACTTAAAACTTTTACATACATTTAGAATACTTTCTGTGCATTCTATACCTTATAAACTTGACTTTATGATTATGTAGGTACATGCATGTAGGTACACATGCATTATATGTATATATTTTACATGTGTATATATATATAACATTTTATATGTATGTAAACAGAAATATTTTAATTTCCTGTGTTACTTGACAAGCTGGGATTTTTATTGTAAGATGAAATTTCATCTTTTTTTTTTAATTGCATTTGATCATTATTTTTTGGCAACTCTCTTACTTGGTATACTTTTTAGGCAAGCTGCTTGGGCTACAGAATGAGTATGAGAGAAGTGTTATTTGCACATTTGTTTGATACATGAAAGAATACATAGATTCTGTCAAAAAGTTGATGAATAGCAAAGTCATATAAGGAATAAACTGAAAATTATTCATCAAAGCTAGAAGGGAAATGGGTTTGGTGCTTGCAGTAAGTGTCAACTTAAATCCAGCACCACTTGCTGCCACTATTCTTGATGCGTCTAAACCAATATTTTAATGAGGGAAAGTATGTATCTTCTGAATGTATGTATCTTCTGAAAACTTCAGAATGAAAGCTTCAAGCTGACGGGAAAATCCAGACTTCATTTAACAGAAAGATCGTTGTGTTATCTCTAGTGCTGGTTTTTTGGGTGAATTTTTTGAGGTTTTTTGTTTGTTTTTTCCTTCACACTTAACTTTCTGTTCCTTGCTGACTCCTCACATTATTCTCATATGACAGAATGTGAGCTTGCAGCCTGTCTGCTTGCCACATTTCTTATTGGTTAGTAATGTGCTGACAGCCCAGACTCGGCTCTCTCGCCAGCTCGGCTTCCTGGCTGTTCCAGTCTTTTCTTCCTCTCTTCTGTAATGTTTTCCTGCCTTTATTATGAAGGTTGCTAGTGCAACGTAGTGCTGTATTAGAGGCTGAATTTGTTCAGTTCTTTATTATTAGCAACTCTGGAAATGTTCTTTTGTCTGTCTTCAAGAATGACCTAATGGTGAGGATCTGGCATTATGTGTAGTAAACCTGCAGTCTCTATCTGTAAGTTTTCAGACTTAGCCTTAAAGAACAGCTTTGAAAAAGCTCTCTTATTTTGGGGGCTGACAGTAGGAAAGGTTAGAATTAACTAATTAAGGAGTGTGAACAGAGATTAATGCTAAGACTGTTATTGCTTGGTGTGCCTATGCTAGAGAAGTTTCCTAGTTGACTTTGTGGTTAGGTCACAATTTTAAATTGTGGTAGCTGAAAGGCTTCTAAAAACATCTGACAGGTTATTTTTTTTCTGACTAAACCTTGTATTTGCAGGTAGAGGGAAGAGCTTCCTTATGCCGGTGTCTTCGTTAGCCAACGAATTTCTGCAGCAGGCAGATTAACCCTTCATCTGTTTTAGTCTTGTAGCACGGGCTGCAAAGCAACAGCTCTCACTTCGTTGTCATCTTTGTAAGGTTTTTTGGCTACCATTTGTTGCTGTTCCATTTGACTTCAGATTACTGTGGTATGTTTGTTGGATCCAAGAGTTTTTCCTAGGGAGTTCAGGGTTACTTAATTTTCATCTACTGGGAACATAAAGGATGTTTTAAAAGGCTGACCATTTAAAATACCTGAAGAGGAAAAGGGTAGAAGTCTGGCACTGTTCTGTAAGACTGAGTTTTTGTTTTTAAATGCTTTCTCTCTCACTGTAAACAGAGAGATTGGATCACTTTGGTTTATTTAGGCTTAAATGAAGAGAAGATCCTTGAAGGTAGCAGTTCTGGACTAAGTATCAGCAGCTGTTTCCAGCTTTTTTTCCGTTCTGCATTAGGCACAGGAGGTCAATATGGTAGTTACCAGCCGTTTTCTGTTCTCAGATGGTTGTTTCTTTCAGTGACTCCATTTAAAAGATAATTTTGCTTTTCTGTTACCCTTTTGGAAAGCATCACCAAAGCTCAATAACTTCTCTTACAGTCTCTTCCTGAGAGTGTCAGGTGCAGTATCATGAAGCTGGTGACTGGTGGAAGTAGTTCAGCTAGTGCAGTTGCCCAGTTTGACCGTAGGACAGTAGTTGCTCATTTAGGCCGCTACTGGTGTTTCAGTGATAACTCTTTGTTTGCAGGGAAAGAAATAATGTGGAAATACTCACCCAAATCTGTGCCATGTCTGTGTTAGACGTGCCTTGCCTGTTTGGGAGGGGAAGGTGACCCCCTTTTCTTTAAAAATATGTTTGACTGACATATTGTCCTTTCAGGTAGCAAGTTAGTTAAGACTACTAAAAAAATTCAGTATGGACTGTGCATTTCCATTCGTCTAACAATGCTTTTTGTATTTAAAAACAAACCAAAACCAAAACAAACCACTGCACTGTATTTCTTGAACGATGGCTATCTGTAAGTGTCTTTGCATACTTTTCTGTTTTCATGCAATCTGGTTTTAAGTGACAGCACTTCTGGCTGTCACAATCTTCAGCAGATTCTGTTAGTATTCTGCTGAGCTGTTAGTAAATTATTATGTTGTCTCATGAATAGCTAATACTGCCTTGGGCCCTGTTCAACCTATGGAAAGATGACCCAAAGAAGTTGTTTTTGCTTGAACTTAGAGCAATTTAGAATCCATAGAAGAACCTGTAGCAGACATGACATGGGTTAAGCTTTCAAAACTACTTGATTAATTATGTCATTTGTGTATCTTGTATCAGGCATTTGTGTATATAATTATGTATGTTCTCCTTTTAAGGACTGTGGGGGACAAGACTCATGGAAGAAAGCAACACCAGCAGAGAGCGATATCTGAAAAGTGTTTTACGGGAGTTGGTTACGTACATGATTTTCCTTGTGGTCTTGTGTGTCCGTAAGTACCATTCAGCCTTAATGCATCCAGTTCTGTACTGTCTGCTTGCTACCTGTGATTCCAGAATTAAGGTTGTTTTAGTGATGAGGGAGAATTAATGGACAGGTATGGAGGCAAATATTTGGAGTTAAACCTTTCTCTTGTTTCTGCACTTGGATTGTTGCTTTCTGTGCCTTAACAGGTTTTCAGTCTTTAAGCAGGATGCTAATGTATTTACTCCTTTTTTTAGGAAGCATGTTTTTACGTAGCACTAATGTATGCTTTCTTTAACAGAAATGTTAAATGTGAAAAGTAGGAGTTAGTCATCTAGGACAGAAAGTTAAACTGAATCTGTGAATTTGAAATTTATCACCAAGCGTATGTGCAGATCATTCTAAGAATAGAAGTCCTTGATAGTAGCTGGAAAGGCAGAGATAATGCTGGCTACTTAGAAATACCTGATAATCTGTGTTTGCAGGATGCTATATGCTGTAAGTGCATCTGCAGCCTATATATACTGGAGTGCATATGGATCACGGCTGGAGACTTCCATGATTTAAGTGTGTCATTTGTTTTGTTATTTATGATATCATAGGAAGTACCGTAACACTGGAGAACACAGAACAGAGTAACATTCAGCCTACTCTTTTTTAAAAATTATTATTATTTTTTAATTTTTTTTTTATTTTAAGTAGATGACTGCTTTGGGTGCTGTAGAATCAGCAGTGGAGAAAACATTGGCAAGTTCTACTTAATACAGACTTAGCACAGAAGTGAGGAGCTTGATGTATCTCCAGCCTCATGTACAACAATATTCCTGGACCCAAATGGAGTTTAAGAAACAAGCCTGAACTGAGTTAGCTGTTCTTTACTCAGGGTGAAGAACCTTAGTGATGCTGGAGCACAGATAGTACAAGATGTTTATCAGAGGCCTCACACAGCGCTGTGAACAGTTGTGGCTGGTGTAATGTAACAGTTCTGAGAGCAGTCTTTTTTTCTGGCCTTGGGAACTTGAAGTCTTTATGCAACTCTATTTCAAGATTTCTAGGATTTTTTAATGTCAATAGTTAAAGCAAGATAAATTCATATATTTGCATAAAAATTAGCAAGACAATGTAAAATAAAACTTACAAAGGAGTTATGAAATAGATGTTTTATTTGGTTACTAGGAAGAATAACAACAAAATCTCTATGTATCAAGTTAGTATTTCTTTGGAAAGCTGATGTGTTTCAGGCCCCCAATTTTTAGTGTGGACAGTTCTGTTCTATATGCCTGAAATGTCTGTGACACTTAAGTTGTCGTTTATGATCAGTTGTAATAGGACAAAGTGATGTTTGTATTTTTTTTGTGAGAGAGAACCTTGGAGTGGAAATGAAAATGTAAAACTACATTGGTAGACTGGCTCCAAAAACAAGTCTGTCTTGCTTGTCCTGAGTAGAATTACTGAAAAACTCCAAACCCCCAAACTTTATACTGTTGACACAGCTGCTTTGGTGGTGTACTGCAAACATGTTTTTTCCTTCCTGAGTCATTTAAGAATGCTTAGTGCATGTTTACGGACAAAGTAGTGCAAGATTGCTCACGGCTGGTATGCTGTACCACCAGCAGAGTGAAGGACTTGAATTAAAATAAAGTGAAATTGGTTTCAGAGGGAAAAGTTTGACCACAGGCTTTTTCACAGTTTGTTTTGCTATAGGAAAAGGTTTTTTTGGTAACAGAATAAAGGAAAAGTATAGTGTTATTAAATACGTACAGGTGTTGCTGATTCATTAATGTCTTTTTAAGTACTGTCTTTTTTAGTTTTACACTTCAGTGATAACTGTGGGACAAGCTAGTCTGTGATTTGGCATGCACTAGGAGGGAGCTTTCCAGTGCAGGCTAAATGCTATTGGTGTTTCTTGTACTCTTGTATTTTTCAGAGCCTGTATTTAGAGAGAATCCAGTTATTGCACAATCATGTGACACGTTCCATGTGCTGCAGCAGAAGACTATTAAAAATAGTAATTTTTCTCTAGTTGCTAAAGAACTTTCTTTCCTGTGATAAAATATTTTTATAGAATTATCAAAACTGATGGAGATTGTTCAGCATAGACTTAATCGTTCAGGCTTCTCTGAGTTTTAGCCATAAAATGCTTTTACGTGTTTGTAGGCAGTAGCCGTATCAGTGCCAAACACTACTCTCAAGCCATCTTGGCTTTCTATGTCATTTTATAATTCATGCTCTGGGGTCCCTAGCCAAATGCTTGGCCCAGTGTGAGGAAAAGTAATAACACACAATCGTTTATTTTCTGTGGGTAGATTTTCTGAGAAGCGCTGCACATCTTGTGTGGAGTTTGTTGTCTAACCATAGGTAGTCAGTGTCATTCACAGTGCCCTGTACTTGGATTGACCATCATTATCTGCTTTTTTTTTCTCTCCTTATTTTTCTTCTCTCCCCCTCACCAAATCTTCTGCAGTGACTTATGGGACAGTGAGTTCCAATATGTACTATTACACAAGGGTTATGTCACAGCTCTTCCTGGAAACACCTGTATCGAAAATGGAGAAAACTGATTTCAAAACTTTGTCCACAATGGACGACTTCTGGAAGGTAATCTTAAGCCAGTTTTTTCTCTGTTGCTGTGATTTGCTTGTCCTGTCATGGCCTTTAAATTTAACCTGCAGGTTCTTTTTTCTAATGTGGTGGGGGTTGTGCCTGAAGATCTTTGTGCACAGCATCAAAGCTGTGGAACAAAGTAGGGTTTTGATATGTGAACATTTAGAACCGAGATAATGCTAGTGGAGCAGGGTGCAGAATGGTTGGGGAGTGTCTTTGGAGGACAGGTAACAGTAAGGCCTTTGCCTTAATGTCAGAAAAATTATCAACTGCAGTTCTAACATATCCACAGAATGAAGATCTGTAAAAACAGTGCTGGCAACATGCAAATTAAAATTCTGTCTTCCTCCCTAGTTCACAGAAGGCCCTTTGCTGGATGGTCTTTACTGGGAGGTGTGGTACAACAACAAAACCATGGCAGAAAACAAAAGCTTCATTTATTATGAGAACCTGCTCCTAGGAGTGCCTCGCATTCGGCAGCTAAAAGTGAGAAATGGTTCCTGCGCAATACCTGAAGATTTGAAGGATGAAATCAAAGACTGCTATGATGTCTATTCTGTAGCTAATGAAGATACTGCTCCTTTTGGGCTTCGAAATGGAACAGCGTATGTAGACACACATATTTGGGGTTTTTTTCTGACCTGGGTGATGCTGAGTTACGTGATAAATCATTTGACAGAGGCAACTGTGCATTTGCTGTATGTTCTGTCTAAAGACAGGTAAATCCAGAGCAGCTGCCACTTCTGCTTGGGGTGAAACCTTACTGAATTTGGAGTGGACAGTGCTCTGAATCTGGCTAAGTGCTGTCATAGTGCCTTTGGTAGCTGTTGTGCATGGGAGACACGTTGTGGTCTGAGTGCAGCACTGCAGCTCATGAGCACTGGTGGTGTAATTCCAGGTTGTGTTACTGCACTGGTTTCACCAAGTTGTCTTCCTTGGCTAAAAGATGAGAATAGCACTGCCTTTCTTGGAGGACAATGTGCGAGTGGGACTGTAAAGGGTTTTGGAGGTAGAACGTAACTATGTAAATGCCAATTTTCTTTGTTTCCCTGTGGACAAAAATTCTGTGTGTGTGGATAGTTGTGTTCTCTTCTCACAATTAATGTACTTGTCTTTCTACCTTAATTTTATGTTAGTGAAAATAACTTTGTAAGCTCTTTCTCCGGGATACAAGCATCAAAAATTTCCACAAGTATCTCTGAAATGAAAGCTGCTTTAAGTACCTGATAGGTGTGGGGTTTTGGTCAGATTTTGTTGGTATCTTGCTTTGTTAATTTTAAGTTGAAGGTGTAAAGGCTAACGTGCTCTGTTTCACTTACTTCTGAACTAGTTGGACATACACCAGTGAGAAGGATTTGAATGGGAGCAGCCACTGGGGCTTGATTGCCACATACAGTGGGGCTGGTTATTACCAGGACCTCTCAAGGACCAGAGAAGTGACAGCTGTGCAGATTGCCAGCCTTAAGAAGAACCTGTGGCTGAACAGGGGGACCAGAGCAGCTTTCATTGATTTCTCGGTATACAATGCAAACATCAACCTATTCTGTGTTGTCAGGTATGAACAGAACCATGACAGTCTTCAAATTGCACAGTGTAGGTTGTAAATCTGGGATTTTCTTGTGATTGCCTTGTTTTGAGGACATGGGTAAGCATATGTTTTGTATCAAGGAGACAGGCCACTGAAGCAGCATGCATTCCTGTCCAAGTGGGACTCTACATGGTGGTTGCACTCATCATCTAGAGACAGTTGTGTCTTTCCTGATGCCACAACAGTTTGCAGACGACTTCTCTAATTGTTGGCTTATTAAAGTAAATAGGTGGATATACAACATCAGTCTTTAGATAGCATGAAACAGATGCAGACAAGGACAGGGTTTTCTGTCTCTGTTTTCTCACTGTTTCTGAAATGCTTCGGATTTTAGTCAAAACTGAGTGCGCTCAGGTTTACACCTTGTGTTTAATGTAGTGTCTTCTCCAAATTGTATATGGGCTTTTGCCTGTTTCCATTATTTGTTTTCATTAATTGTGTAAATAAAACCATATATCTTTTAGTAGTGCTTTTCATCAACACTGTGTAAATGGAATTTTTTTCTTTGCCTTTTAAAAATGCAGGTTGTTAGTGGAGTTTCCAGCGACTGGAGGCCTTGTTACATCTTGGCAGTTTCAGCCAGTGAGGCTGATTCACTACATCTCCACTTCTGATTTTTTCCTGGCAGCCTGCGAAATGGCATTTTGTCTCTTTGTTCTTTATTACATGGTGGAAGAGATCTTAGAAATTCACATTCATAGACTGCACTACTTCAGAAGTCTTTGGAATTGCCTTGATATTCTTATTATTGTGGTACGTAATCTTTATAATAAAGCTAAAATTGCTTTCTGAATGCACTTTGTGGGAGGTGTTAATGACTCAGTATTCATGTTGTGCATTTAAGGGATAGGGCCTTCATTAGGAAGGATAAATACAGACTAATGGACTATTCAGTCTGAATAAGACAGTTTTAGTCTGTGTTGTGATGTTGGTGTGTTTTGCAGACTTGCTTGTTCTGTCTTTGGTGGTTTCAACTTCTGTGTCTTGGTGAAAGATTTAGAGTATTTGTCCAGTATACTTTTTTCACAATTTTTATCTGTAAAGGCACAGCCATTATGGGAGATAACAAACTCCCCCTCATTTGTCTTCCACATATCTGATACAGATTATTGCAATGGCTTTAAAGTAAGAAAACAATCTGCTTTAAAGTAGTGATTTGCATTGGGAGGGTATGGGACCAGGATTTGAATAATAATTTGAACCACAAAGAGATTTAATGTGGTATCACAATACTTACCAGCAAATACCAAGTTCGAAGAAGTGTCTCAAAATTGTGGAGTGCAAGCAGATGTCAGGGCTGTTTTCTTGGTTAAGTAGACAGTGTTGCACATCAGTAATTTTGGTGTAGCAGAAAGTCTGAACTTTGAATTTAAAGCTACATAGTAAATAATCTCTGGATTTATATCAAGCTCTGTTTACAGAAAGTATACAAAGCCAGTTCCAGTTTCACACTTATTTTGTATCTTCAGGCTTGGACAAATCAAATGTTTAAGTCATGAAGGTAGTATCTGTATAATCTAGGGAAATCACACTTGTATCACAGTGCTTTGTAAATGAAACACCATTTAGGAGGATGTTTACATGAACTGCATACTCTTTGTTATACTTAACTGAGGAGGGAAATAAGATGCTTTGCTGTTACAGTCAGTGAAGTGTATTCAAGTGCAAGTGTAAAATTGAGTTCACACAAAGGGTGAAATTCTGTTTATACCTTGTCTGAGGAAGATTGTTTAAATTCAGAATTATGTACTTTATAACTCTGTATACATGGTGAAGTGTTCACTTACACTAACAAAAAGCATGTTTGCAGAGGTCAAAGCGAGAAGCTTACCTATATGATAAAACTACAGGTTTTCTGCTGTGTCTTGCTGTGGGCAGTACTGGTCAGTCTGTACTCTGGAGAGACTCTAGTACCTTTTCGGTTATTGCTGGCTTTCTCCTATTTACTCTTCTTCACTTGTTTCTTTTTGAATTGTCATCTTTCCTTACATTTCCTCCTCTGTGTCACCTTCATTTTCTGAGCCCGCTGGGCTTCACTGTCATCTTATTCTGCAGCTGTGGCAAGGAAAAGATTTAGAAATCTTCTTACTCCCAGGCTGTTTGTAGTTTAGTACTATAATGGTTTTGTTTTGAAATGCATTTCCTGATCTGTCTAGAAATTCTAGTTTGGATCCTATCTCAAACAGTAGCCACTGGGCTGTTAAATTACTCCTGAGTTGGTGAAACCTGGGGCCCTCCAGTCCCTGCAGCTGCCTGGCCCTAAGCACTAAAATGATCATTGACTGGAGGGGTTAACCCTGAAGAACTGTGGGAAGCTCGCATCTGTGGTTTATTCTAGGTTCTGTACAAGCCCTAGCATTTATTTTCGCATTTGAAAGTTAAGCTCTGTAGTCAGGACACCTTGAAAAGAATAATTTTGCTTTTACTTAAAGCTCACATTATGGTAGTGCCATAAATAACGTGAAGTTCCTCATACCTTTATGTAACAAAAGTGGCTGAAACAAGTTCTTATAAAATCCTAATCACCTTTTGTATGTTTCTTTTGTACTCAGCTCTCTATGGTTGCTATAGCAATTAGCATCTATAGGACATCAACTGTTGATATGCTTCTGAAGAAGCTGCTGGAAGATCAGAACTCGTTTCCCAATTTTGAACCCTTGGCATATTGGCAAATGCAATTCAACAATATTGCTGCAGTCACTGTATTTTTTGTCTGGATTAAGGTAACTCCAAGACACACATCCTTTTACTAACATTAGAATGTAAGCAGTAATTTGAGTTTCATGTAATACATTTATTTGAGGTTTACTTGTGTTTCTCCTAAAATTGGTCATGCTAGAAAGTGAGAGCACAGAAGTGACTTCTTGCAAATTAAAAGCAAGGTTATAATTTTGCCACAGGTTTGGTCAGCCCTTGTTTAAGTCTAGCAGATGTATTCAGTGCTAGTGCTTTGTCACAGCAGACACATAAATAAATGTTTTTATTGTTCCTGAATTTACAAGTCAGTAGTTCTTACTGGGTATTGCTTTTTCCTAGCCTGGTTTAACCGCCCATTTTATCTGTTCAAAGCTACTGAATTGTTAGGAGGTTTGGTGAAGCTAGTCCAGTTCATTTGAAAACTAGATATGCTGCTTTAGTTAAACTTAATTTCTCTGTTTTACTGCATCCTTTCTAGTGATACTTCTTTTCACATTCATACTCATTTTCTGTATGAAAAAAGTTGCAGAGGAACATTTAGTTAATAAACTGAGTAATGATATGTTAATAAACTGAGTAAGACCAATGATATGTGAATTACTACTCTGACACTCCAAATTCATACTTAAGTTATCAAGTAATTTAGCTAATCTCTTACTGTTTCATAAGACAAAGTTGCATCTAATTTTTGCATCATGATTTGGAAATAAAGTGGCACGTTGTAAAAAAATAATGGTGAACTGCAGAGTAACAGAATAATGGAGGTTTGACAGGACCTTGGGAAATTTCTAGGCCAGCTGTTTGCTCAAGGCAAGGTCAGCTGTGAGATTGTCTTTTCTCACATTTTACTACTTAATAGCTAACATCTTCACTGAAGATAAAAATTAGAAACCAGGCTTTTGGAAGTGTTTCAGTAACACTGCTCTGAAGCCAAAGTGCCAAATAGAAGTGTGAAAAAACAAATAAACAAAACTCCACACCCAAACAGAAATTTGGCATTCTCACAGAATTTTCTTCAGATCTCAAAGCTTAGTGTTTTTAGGAAGTGATGTTATTTCTACGTGTAAATTAACTGAATTTGTCTCCAGTCAAATTCAGTAAGATGTCTCATGTGTAAAAGGCTGGAGTGTAGTAGTGTTAAGAAATTCCTGTCTTCCTTGTCTATAGTTGTTGTGTTTTGTTTTTTTTTCTTTTAACAGCTTTTCAAATTTGTTAACTTCAACAGAATGATGAGTCAGTTATCCACTACCATATCTCGCTGTGTCAAAGATATCATTGGCTTTGCTATTATGTTTTTTATTATTTTCTTAGCATATGCTCAGTTGGCCTATCTTGTCTTTGGCACTCAAATTGATGACTTCAGCACTTTTCAGGACTGCATGTAAGTACAAGAATAAAAAATGCAAAGAATGTCTCAGTATGTTGGTAAATGGATTTGGTTGCCTTATCAGAAACCAAACAAATCCTACTACATATATAGAAACAGGTAAGACATATCACTGTTGATGTAGCTCAGTAGCAAATACAGCTTTTGATAATATTTTTAATTTAAAAGCTGTCTTTGCTGTGAGGTTAAAAATATACCACAGTTAGATGAGTCACCTAAAAGTGGCAGTTTTTGGTTAGTGGAAGTGACATGGTTTTTATAACAATTGGCCACATTCCTAGACAAAACAGCTGTATGACTGTATGCTTACATTTGTAATGCTTCCTGAAACTTTGCATAGTAATGCTGTGTTACTGATAGTGTGTGTAGTTGATTGACTCACAAATGGGGTCCATCTTAGATAGCCAAATGTGTAAGTATCTGCTGGAGTCTAGGAGAGATCTTAGTATGGAAGTTTTTCCTTTACTGATTTGGTACAACATAACCAGATTCTGAGGTGATTATCAGTTTGTTCAGTTACTGATTTTCTCCTGCCCCCTTATATTGGAGCAGACCATTGCAAGAAGTTTCTTGCAGAAAAACAGAAAAACTTGAAATACAGTGATGATGCCAAGCCTCTTTCAGCCTTGGCACCGTACAGATAAATTTTGAGGGAGAGGGTTGGGGTTGTATGTATGTGAGCGGTAGAAGTGATAGGAGAGGAACAGGAGTGCATCTTAAAGCTTCATAGTGGTAATATTTGGTTTTCTGTTGCCCCTGTTATCAGTTCTGATCAAAAGTCAGAAGTGTCCCTAGGTTTGTTCTGTCTTTGTGGCATCTGCAAGCTTGGTTATACCTAGAGATGGGCTTAAGGAATTGACTATTGCAGTGCCCAAGAAAGTATTACAGTAGTGCAGACCTCTCTGCTGCCCATCAGTCAGGCCGTTAAGATAAAATAGAGAATTCTAGCACAACTCCACAAGTGGTTTTTTTTTTCTCAATTCCTGGATGTGTTTTGTTTTTTTAAGATTTACTCAGTTGCGCATCATTTTGGGAGACTTCAACTTCACAGAGGTTGAAGAAGCTAATCGAATTTTGGGACCAATTTATTTCACTACATTTGTGTTCTTTATGTTCTTCATTCTTTTGGTATGTACACTTTTATTTATGCGGGGTGGGTAGGTGGCACTTTTTATGTAAATCACCATTTTTATGTCTCTTGTTCTTTGATTCCTACTGCTACTTCAGTTTTTTTTTTTATCATGGTGAGTGTGCAGTCCACATGGAGGTCTGACTGTTACATGGCCAGACACTACACTCTTTCATTTTTTTTCTTCATTTAAAATAGATTTGCATTGTATGTTTGTTGTCTTTGCCATGCAGAGCTCCAAATTTTTTAATTTTTTTTTTTAAATTTTTTTCTAAAATCTGAATTTTGCCTGGCTGGCATACATAGCAACCCCTTTGTTGGTGAAAAGTAGCTGTAATGTTCCCTATGGGCTGTTAGTTTTTAAACTGCTCTAATGAGTGGCTGGCTATGTTTTCAACAGCCTACTTTGTGCATGCAGCACACAGCTTGTCTGCTAGAAGAGCCAATTCAGCAGCAGTGCAGCAGCTTTCAAATATTCAGGTTTGCCTGCAAAGGCCTCTCTTCGATCCCTTCTTCCTTCTGCAGGGCAAAATTTGGCCCTGTCTTTCTCACCTTCCTGGTGCAATTACCTATACAGTGTCTGACAAACAGTACTATAAGAAGCTCAACTTATCTGAGAGGCAGCATGTAGGCATGATTCATAATTTTAGTGAGGACATTGTGAGTGAGTGCTCATCGTTTGTGTACTCTTTGTTAATACTAGTACTGAATTCACATTACATTCTTACTAATAATTGATACAACAAGAAGTGGAGGGAGGAGGCGTCTCTCTCAGAAACCTAGGAGACCAAGTCAATTCATTTTTTTTATTTTTATTTTTTCAATGTAAATGAAGAGCCCCAGTATCTTGTACTCGGATGTAGTTTTCAGTTAGTTTGGTACCAGCATTAATATATAGTAATCTTGTTTCTGATGATATCACCAAATAGAAGCTGTTATGTGAGCAAGAAATCCTCAAATTATTCCCGAAACTGTGTCTTTTGGTGATCTGCAAGGTGGCAAGCATTGAAGCAGGATTTTATTAACCTTAAAAGAGTACAGTAGTTCTGTATTGTTATAACTTTTAAAGTTATTTAGTGATGCTTGTACTTAGTGAGGCTTTTTATTATTCTTTGAGATGAGGAGAAATGACACTCAGATATTATTTGTGGGAGATGGGAGAAGATTTCATCTTGGCTATTCACTAGTAAGGAATCAGAGTCTTACATGTGCAGTGGAACATCAGTCAGAAAATAACATGTGGGTCATTGTCCAAAGAAGCACATGAAGCGAATTTAACATTTCCTTTGAAGCACTGCACAATATCCAGAGGAGCAGAGGACAGTGTCTGGCAGGGGAAAGAAATGTTTTTTCCGAAGGGGTGACAGAATAGCACTGGGGTGTGAAGGCACAGCAGGTTATCCAAAATACTCACTATAATTTGTGTGCTATTAATTAATATCTGCACATCCTGTAATTTGGCTGGAGTGAAATGTTGCAAGCTCCTTGAGACCAGTCTGAGACCTGGAAACTAAGGTAGGGAAAATAGGCAGGAATCATCAACTCTTAATGTTGGGTGGCTGAAAGGAAAATAGACAGTAGTGAAGTTATCTCTTACTTCTTTGGTGTTGGGCAAGAATGCATAAAGATACAGCACTGGAAGATTGTTCTCCTACAGCATTTTTTGAAGTCCACGAGGTAATAGTGGTTGACACTACTTTTGTGCATGAGCATGGTACATTGAGCGTGCCAGTAAATTGAGTAATTATTTCTGGACTTGAATGTCCACCTCACAGTTCAGTCACATTTACTCCGCGTTCTGCAGGATCCTTTCAGTAATGACAGCATAGCTCAAGTAAATTATGTGCTTGGACCAGGGTTAATGAGACCAATTTTTTCTCTTTTGTTTTAACAAGCAACCGAACTCTTCTCAGAGTTGATGGCTTACATGCCAAGCGTTTGTTCTTAAGCGTTTTTGGTTTTAACTTTAGTCTGAAATACAAGCAGAGCTGTAACTAGATAAGAACCTTGTGTTTGAATGAAGGATAAATAGTTAGCTGGATTTCTCAGGCATTTTTGTTGCCAGCTGTGTTGCCTAGCTTAATTCACAGTTGTTATTTTTTTAAGTTTGACCTTGCAGGTAGAACATGGTTTATTGCCACTGCTGTGTGTAGGTGTGAACCCTCCCAGAAAGTAATTCTCTAGTTATGTTAATAACTAGCAGTCTTGATTAAAAGTTGTTGTAATGCAGTACATCATATTTCAATATCTTGAGCTTTTGATGTCAGTGCTTTTTAAACAATGCGCCATTTTCTCCTGGCCCTTTAAAAAGAAATTCATATATAGATCTGCACATGAAGGTCATGGGAGCAGTAGGGCTTGGACTTGTTGAAATTTTTTAAGTGGGCTTTTTCATTTCTCTCATGAACAGAACATGTTTTTGGCCATTATCAATGATACGTACTCTGAAGTCAAATCAGATATGGCACAACAGACGGCAGAAATGGAACTGTCTGACCTTATCAGAAAGGTAAAAATAACATTTTTGTTTGTTTGACATCTCATTTCTCACACCTGAACTTACTACATAAAACACTGTATAAACCGTACAAAGTAGAGCTGGTAGCAGCATCTTGGTTAAATGAATCTGAGCTGAGTGTAAATTAAATTAATGAAAACTTTCCATCACAATGTATTTTAGTCATCTGAGACTTTGCATCGCATGATCACCCTGATGAATACAACATAGGGATTTGTCTGTCTAGGTACATAGAGAAATACTGAACTGAGGAAGTTAAACTGCTATTTGCTTTGGTCACAGAATTCAGAATAACTTCGTTTCAGGCAATAAAATGAGGTGAGTCTTGGATAATGTGTTGGGAGCTCCCATGGATGGCTGCCAGTGAACTTGTGGAATAGAGTTGAGAGCTTCACCTAAATCCCAGTTTAGTAAAAACTTAGAATCATAGAATCACTTGGGTCAGAAAAGACCTCCAAGATCATTGAGTCCAACAGTTAACCAGCACTGCCAAGTCCACCACTAAACCATGTCCCCAGGTGCCACATCCACACAGCTTTTAAGTACCTACAGGGATGGTGACTCCACCACCTTCCTGGGCAGCCTGTTCCAGTGCTTGACAACCCATTAGGTGAAAAAAAATTTCCTAATATCCAATCTAAACCTCCCTTAGTGCAACTTGAGGCCATTTCCATTATGCTTGTTACTTGGGAGAAGAGACTGACACCCACTTAGCTACAACCTCCTTTCAGGTAGTTGTAGAGGGCAATAAGGTCTCCCCTCAGCCTCCTTTTCTCCAGACTAAACAAGCCCAGTTCCCTCAGTCCTAATAAGACTTGTGCTCTGGACCCTTCACCAGCTTTGTTGCCTGTCTTTGGACATGCTCCAGCATCTTAATGTCTTTCTTGTAGTAAAGGGCCATGTATGTGTCTTCTGGCATGGATGCGGTGCGGAGAAAAATGAAAAGTGATACTTTGCTGGGATGAGGACTTTTTTTTTAAAGTCATCACAACAACTGAGGAATGAGAGATAAGCAGAATGACCACAGAGAGCTGTACCTGGTTTGTGAGCATTATTTAAGACGGTTACTAAAGTGTTGGTAACTGCCAAAGTGTCTTACTGGGACAAAATACTCCATTCCTACAGACCTACAGTACAAATTGAATGATGAAAGCCTTACCTCGAACTGCAAAGGTATTTCTATGTTGTCCATTTATATGCTGAAATAAAATATGGGTAAACCGGATGAAAAGACAGATTCTTGCAGGGCTTGTGGAACACACTGAATGATAGTGTACACTAACGGATTTTTGTAATCAAAAAATCTTTAGAAATCAAGTGTTAACATTTCATAAAAAGTAAAAGATGAAATTTCACTTTTAGGGCTACAACAAAGCCATGATCAAACTTAAATTGAAGAAAACTACTGTTGATGACATTTCAGAAAGTCTGAGGCAAGGTGGAGGAAAACTAAATTTTGATGAACTCCGACAAGATCTAAAAGGGTAAGGAAGCTGTTACTTCTTACATTAAATAGTATTTCCAGAGACATATGATATTAAGTCTTAGATGCGAGTTTCTCTGGCTTCTATGATGTGGCAAGGGTATGCTAATGTAAATAAAGACAGTGCAGCAAAGTACTTTCCTTTTGGTTACTGGGTAGCAAAGCGTGTGCTTTTTCTGTGGCTGGTGGGAGGCCTGTATAAACAAACAGACAATCTTTTCATATGGATCTGCAGGCATTGCAGAAAGGAAAATTCTAACTGTGGCATGAGACTGGGGAAGAGAGAGGAGCAAGAGAAGAATAGTCAGTTTGTGTTGGAAGAGAAGTCTTAGCTGAGTAGGTTTGCTGAGCTCTGGCCTCTGGACTCAGCGTTATGGCTGTTGTGGCTGCAGTGGGGCAGCGTCCCACACTGGAGGAAGGATTTGGCATTCTGGGGCTCAGCCTCCTCGAGTTGCTGCGCTGTGGGGAAGAAAGGGTCTAAGGAAGCATAGATCCAAGGCCTTTGAGGAAACAGTAATGTCTCTATCAGAGCCACTGCAGGAATTTGTGAACACACAGGAGTCCAAGATAAGGAAACAAATCAAGGAGGTATAAAAGGGAAGACTGTGAAGGAGCAGGTTGCAGTTTGGGGGAGATTTGTGCTATTAACTAATGAAAGACGAGGGCTGAGTTTTTTGTTATTATCAGTGTTGTGAATTGATATGCATTACTGGGTTCAGTTGTGCCTTTGGCTTGGGAATGAAAGTTTGTTCGGAGTGAAGTGTTTTTCTAATACTTGAAGTTCATTCAGCATCTGAAAAATGGAAAGTAAGGGAACTGTTTTTACTGCCTTTTCAGGAAGGGGCACACGGATGCAGAGATTGAAGCAATATTTACCAAATATGACCAGGATGGGGATCAGGAATTGACAGAGCATGAACATCAGCAGATGAGAGATGACCTGGAGAAAGAGAAGGTGAGCTCAGTGTTACGAGGCTTATGCCACCAGTGTCATGTGCCATTCTTCTCGCACTGGTTTACTGCTCCAGAAGAATCCTCTTGTTTCCCTTTGCATTTGCTCTCATCCCTGGCTGGCTGAGCAGAACTGTAAAAAGGCAAGGGGGAGCTGATGGAGGACAGGTCTTTGGCCTTGACAGCCCCATTACCTGTGTACAGGTGAAAGTCTCTACATCTTCTCTATCTGTGGCTTGTGTTTTCGTGAAGGAGGATCTGGACCTGGATAGGAGCTCTCTACCACGTCCTCTGAGCAGCCGCAGCTTCCCCCGGAGCTTGGATGACTCCGAGGAGGATGAGGATGAAGACAGTGGACACAGTTCCAGGAGGAGGGGCAGCAGCTCTAGTGGGGTTTCCTATGAAGAGTTCCAAGTGTAAGTTTATCCTTCTTAGGGGGGGGTGAATCTGCATGGTGGCAGGTTTTTTCCTTGTGAGTTTTTTTCTTTCATTTATTTAGTAGTCTCACCTATAACTCTGAATATTAATCAAATTATTCAGAAAAGTCAAGGTGCTTAAGTCACTCCTTTTAGTAGCTTTCAGGTAATACCTGAATTGGAAATACTTTAGAGGGGCTCTTGAGAATCAGTAAGAAAACCAAAACCAAACCAAGACCAAAAAACCCACAAAACCCCCCTCTTAAAACCTGGCCATTGTAAAGACAGAAAAGAGTCATGCTACAACAATGCCAGAAGACTTCTGTTTTTTCCTAGTAGTAAAACCTTGAGGTTGTTGTAGATTCAGTGAGAACTTCAGCTGTTGTTTTTAATAAGATTAAGTTAATTTTACGTGATTGTGTATTTTGTCTAGCATGATAGATCTCCATATTAATTATAGCAATGCTAGCTGAATGAAGAATTTTAGTAACTAGAACTAACAAATTCTGATTATGACAGTGCCCTAAAAGCAGGGAAAACAGAGTGGAAGATGTACTTTTTCCCTGTCTGCTTTACTCCTGTGTTATCTTCCTGCTCTTTTGTACTTCTTCCCTTTCTGGACAGTAGGACTTATTTGTGGAAAGTCAGATCCATGCTTGAATTAAAATGCTGTCTCATCCACTCACTGTGTGTTGACATGCTAGCACTAACTAGCTAACTAACTCAGAAATGTCAGAGTCACTGAAGCTCACATGTCTTGCCCTCAGACTCATGAGGCGGGTCGATCGCATGGAGCATTCTATTGGCAGTATCGTCTCCAAGATTGATGCAGTTATTGTGAAGCTTGAAGCGATGGAGAGAGCCAAACTGAAAAGGAGAGATGTGTTGGGAAGACTGTTGGATGGAGTGACAGAGGTAAGAAACCCCTACTCTCTCCTGTTTGGCCACAGCCTGCATGGCTTACTTATTGTTAGCACTACTTCTTTCTACTGCTTCGTTTGGGAGGATTGAGGGAGTGATGGTACAAAGGAGGCTAATGCTCTGGCAGTGGCCAAGTGACTTCAGTTTCGTGTTACTGGAGCGATGTGATGCAAGTTTCAGATATGACAGCCCATCTTATGTCAGGCCTGTGACAAACTGAGGCAACAGAATGCCATTTAAACCGCTGAACTGGACAGTAAGTGCTATTCGGTAGTTGCTGAAGCAGCTCGTTCATCCCTTGATATTTGCTGGGATCCATACAAAGCTTTTTATGGTCTGTTAGAGTCAGGGGGATCCAGTGCAGGCCTGTGCAGTCTGCCCTTCTCCCATGGTACTTCTGGGATTGTGTGGAAGCAGGTCACGTTGGTCACCAGAGTTATCTGGCTTCTATCGCCTCCCCTCCCACCTTCTTTTTCTTGAGAGCCTTTTGGAAGCAGCCAGTAGGACAAACGCGTTATTTATGTGGATGCTAAAACCTGTCAGCTTCCTGATGGGGCAAGAACAGCTGGAACAGGGCTGTTGAGGGGTGGGCAAGATGGACTGTCTTGGTGAGCTATGTAGGTCAGACTTGCATCTACCCTGTCACAGACATGATGTTTTGAATGTTACTGTTGTTTCAGACAATAATTCTGCTGATTCTTGAGCTAGGGCTTCCTTGTAGGTGTCCTCTCCTCAGTATATTTTACATTTCTGGAGGTGGATTTAAATATTAGAATCTGTAGTACAAATTGTGCTTTCATAGGTGAAGGTGACAAGCTGGGTGTAACATCACTGGAAAGAAAACAATTTGCTGAAGTAGCTGTGTTTCTTCACTAATCTATGGAAGTATTTGAGTGGTATAAGTATTTCTCATATTTGTATAGGGTTTTGCTTAGGCTGCAGTTTAGAAGCTGTGCTTCCAGCTTGTGTCTGCTAATCTGTTTAGGATGAAAGACTGGGTCGTGACAGTGAAATCCACAGGGAACAAATGGAGCAGCTTGTGCAAGAGGAGTTGGACCGGTGGGAATCGGATGATACAGCATCCCAAATGAGTCATCGGTTGGGAACTCCGCTTGGACTGAATGGCCAGCCCCGTTCCAGGAACTCTCGGCCGTCTTCCTCCCAGTCAGATGGTGTCGATGGGGGAGGAGGAAATGGGGGGAATAACGTCCATGCGTAGTATTAACGTTGTAGGTGATTCTAAATGTTCCACGTCAGTGTTAAGCCAGAAAATACACTGCTCCACTGTGTCCCAGCATGAGGTCATCATCCTGATCAGACTGCTAAGAACAAGTTTCACTGGTGGGTGAAAGTAATTATTTAATTCATGAGGCATTTTCAAACCTATGTAAGCCATGTGTCAGGTACCAACAGCGAGATTGTCAGCCTTGGAAATGAAAACCAGAATGGAAAGCGGGTGTGACAAAAATCTACCTGGACAGAATTTTGTTTCCATACATGTACTGTGGGAAACACTTTCACAAGGGCAGCAGGCTTCAGACAAAATAATGTGCTGTGGCTGAAACATTGACATGCAGGGCTGTGAGATTTCCGCTTTCTGTTGGAAAATATGATTTTTAAATGCTTTTGAAAGCAATTTTAAATAATTTTTAATAAGCATCAGTTTAATGTTTTATTCACTATAACTGCTGATATTTTTCAAAGACATAAACCAGCACTTTTTATTAATTTGAGTTTCTGTCTATTTTTCTGAGTTACTCTTGGTGTACTAACATTTTAATTAATTTAAGATGTTATTTTTTTCCTTTTTTTGAGAAATACTGTTTCTTTAAATGGAAGAAAGTGCACTTAGTTTGTACAACTGTAAATGGCATAATTCCATAATATAACCGTATGCATTACCTGGTTTTGCATTTCATTAGCATTTCAAAAGTAATATTTGAGAACTGCCTCTTCACACCCAACTAAGGTAATAATTTCTAGCTTTGTTACACTGTGCCCATTTTTTAGTGCTATGTTTTCATGATCTAAGTGTTCCTGGGATAAACATTCCACAGGTTCTTAGGTGAACATGGTTACTTTGCAGAAAATACATTGTTTATAATCACAAAATTTGAAAAACACTAACTCTTCCCTGAGTGTGACAGGGAAGGGGGCAGAGAAGTTGCTGACAGTTGGGAAAATCTGATCTCGTGCTGTATCAAGTGCTAATAGTGTCTTGACAATGTAGTCTGTATTTACATGTAACATTTTTAGTATAATCACTAATTTTTAGTATTTAACTTCCTCTGCATTCCATGTCATAGAAGCTTTGTTTTTGAAAGGAGATGCAACACTGAAATTATTGGGTTGGCCAAAAAGTAACTGCGGTTTTTTTCTGGGTAAATGAAAGGCAATTTTTTTCATGGGAAACAAATTTTTTATTAAACAATATAGTGTTCATTTTGTTCAATTACCTTTTGGCATCTTTCAGCCAACTTCATGATTCTGTGCTCAAAAAAATTCTTCTCTTTTTCATCAAAAACATGTTCCAGGAAGGATTTGATATCCTCATCAGCAGTCAAGGTTTTCCCATTTAAGTCATTTTGTAAAGAACAAAACCAATGGTAGTCCGATGGTGGCAGGTCTGGCGAATACGGTGGATGTGGTAACACATCCCATCCAAGCTGCAACAATTTTTGACAAGTGACAAAACTCGTATGTGGTCTAGTGGCATCATGGAAGAAACACAACACCTTTGTGTTTCACCAGTTCTGGACACTTCTGTTTGATGGCATCATTTAATGTATCCAGTTGACAGCATCACACATCCAAATTAATGGATTGGTCCCTAGGAAGCAATGCAAAATACACAAAACCTTTGAAATCCCACCAGACTGACAGCATCACCTTCCTTTGGTGAGTATCTGCTTTTGAAGTGCTTTGAGCTGGTTCATCATGCTTGGTCCATGGTCTTTTTCTTTCATCATTGTTGTAGACAATCCATTTGTCATCACCTGTTATCATACGTTTCAAAAATGGATCATTTTCTTCACATTTCAAGAGAGAATCGCAGATGTCGATGCACTTTAGTGAGACAAATTTCTTTGAACTCATGTGGTACCCACATACCGAGCTTACTAATGTATCCAAGTTGTTTTAAATGGTTTTCACAAATTGATTTTGATATGTTAGGATTATCAGCAATCTCTCATGTCCTTAAACACTGACTGGAGTCAATCAGTGCCTTTATTTTGTTGTTATCAACTTCAACTGGCCTTTCTGAGTGTGGTGCATCTTTAACACTAAAATCTCTGGACCAAAATTTAGTAAACCAGTTCTGACACTGCAGTAGTTTTAAGGCATCTTCACCAAACACATAGCTTTTTATGAGCTTGCACAGCATTTTTTCCTTTTCAGAAGTAATACAGCAAAATAAGACAAAAATGTTCATTTTGCTTTTCTGTTTTGAAATCAATGCCAAATAAATAATTGTTAACAAAATCGTGCACTTTCCTTTTCTAAAACAAGCTTGAAATGTCAGATGTCAAATTACAGAATGAATTTGCTGTTTAAAATCAAGTTAGTTTCAAGACATGGATGTCCATCTATTTAAAAAAAACAAGACAATTACTTTTTGGGCAACTCAGTATGTTGGTTTCCTATAGAAAGCATTGAGGCACAGGGTTTGTAGGCTTGCCTAGCAACACGTTTCCATATGTGGCATGCTGGTTTAGGAAGGAGGTTGTCATTTGTGCTTTTTTCCTTGAAGATGTTGTCTTGTATTTAAAGTCTTAGAATTGATGTAAAGGAAAATGGAAAGCCACATAATGAAATACATTAGCTATTAGTAGGGTATATAGAAGGAAATACTTGAAAAGGTATAAGGAGCATGTATATATTATGTTGGTGCTTTTTGTTTCAAAAAGCAGTTATTGACAGGGATTAACACCTCATTCTTGTGGTAGTACAGGTTATGTAAAGCTCCATCTTGCATCTTTTCATACAACTGTGTTGCCTGGATGTACAAGGGCTCAGAATGCCTTCCCTCTAAACAGAGACCCTGCTAAAACTAAATAGACTTGATACCTTTCCCTATTTTTAAGTTTATGAGAAACCATATGAACAGAAACTTAATGTAAGGTGGAGCAGGAGAAAGTTCAGTGCAGAGTTTTGAAATTCTTAGCAGCTTTGGCTTGAGAACAGGATGACATGGGAAAACAGGTTTTCTTGTGAAGTATTTTTTTCGTTCTTTGGGTCACTTTGTCCCATACTAGGAAGAAATTCATACTCTCACAAGAGACCCCATCTACTTTTCAAAACAGTGATTAGTGTATTTGTATGAAGCCACTCAGACTATGCTCTGTCTTGCCTTGGTTTAAAGTTTTTGGACCTTAGAAACCTTCCCAAGGAAAGCTTTTCTATGTTAACCTGGTGTTTCTGACTTAAAAAAAACCCAAACCGCCAACCAACCAACCATATCCCCCAAAACCATGCATGGCATATCATGCCATGTGTGCACTACACATGGCATGATATGGTATGCAAGGAAAACAGAAATACAGTACATAGCCTTGTCTTTGTATCCATGTCCAAAATGTGTAGTGTGTTGGTATGTGACATGATTTACAGTTTAAACTTGGAGACACGCTAATTAATTACTTGTGTGTAACATGTAATTGATGTTAGATTTCTAGGGTCAAGGGTTACCTAAATGTTAGATAGTATTTAAATAATTGTGTGCTTAAAATCAGTAACTTTGGCCAAATGACCCAACTTGAGATGTCCAGCAATCATCTGGAAGGTTCTGAAGAATAACTTGTGTTAAGGTTTGTGCCTGTGGCCTGCAACATGTGTGGCATGGTACTACTGAGGTTTATGGCAGCAGGGACTGGGGAGCGGGCAGAACTGATGTAGTGGTCATCTCTTGGTGAGGCAGGGCCTTCCGGGGGGTAAAGAAAGCAAAGCCAAACCTATCAGTATGGTTTTAAATAGATTTCCTGTAAAAATGTATCTTTCAAAATGTAAATTCAATCACGCAGCTTTTATTTGTAGTATATTTTTATTCTTAAAAGGAAAATGTTTGTATTCATAGGTGTATTTGTTAAGGTGTATTTCTGTAATGTGTCATTACTTAGTAACAAACTTCATCATGAAGTGCATCAAGTTTTCATGGGGTCCCCATGTGTGTTGACAGTGGGTCTTGCAGTAAGTGCATGGCCACTTTACATATGTTATGAACATATTTATTATGTTGCTGTTAATCTTTGGATTATAATATCATTTACCACTTATTACAAAGGTAAGTTTTTTGCATAGTAATGTACAGTATTTGATCTTACTAGGAAGCTGTTAGTTATGCAAGTCTTCTATATCTAGATCAAGAATGTATTGATCTGTAAAATTGAGCACTTCCTAATAAACATTTTATATAACATATAAAGCAAACATTGTGCCATATGCTCGGTTTGTTTACAGTGGAACATTAAGAATCCTACAGTTTATTTCTATTGTATTACTTCTATCTCACATCTTATTCTCGAATTACCTAATAGTGTAAAAAGGGAGTATGCGGTGTAAATGAGCAGAGAGGACTGAGCTGATCCTACTACTCCATTGCCCAAACAGTACTTTTTGACACTTTTATTTCACATTTGCATTTTGCACAGGTCTGTTTTCTGCTGTTTCAGGTAACAGCCCTGACCACTAGTAACAATGTCCCTTTATTCTTCACAGTTGCTGTGTAAGTTAACTTCTCTACTCTTTTCTCTATTCCCCTTTATTTTTCCCTTTGTTTCAGGGAATCGTACAACATCTGGAGGGTTGCATGGTCCTTGGAAATCCCAGGCTTTCATATAAGCCCCATAGTTCTGTCTGGGCAGCAGAGAGTAAGGTACCTGTCTCACCAGGTCAAAAGCATACTGTATTAATGAAAATTAAATGCTTAATGTAAATCCATCTCAATTTTTAATTAAATACATACATACTGAATTTATTAGGTATACTAAACATTTAGTCAGTGTCCTCTAAAAGTCACAGTTTGTGGGAACTTCAAAAATTTAATACTGTGTGTATGCAATAGTGCTGTTGACTTGTGAAATTTTCTTCAGGAAGTGCAGTTTGAGATGTATGTTTGGAATAAAATTCTTCCGTATCCCATGGGCATCACCGAGATGCCTGGCATATTCAAATACTCTTCTCCAGTAAATCTAAACAAGAAAAAAATGAGGAAAAGGTAAA